TGCATGTATGTATGTATGTATTACATATTTATTTATTTGTTTATTTATGCATACATAGAATATCTCCTATCGCGAAAAAGAATGATGCCTTAGCGACTTCAGTGACACTGGTGAACTTAGTGGGGATACGCAGAGCAGAGAAAAGATCGTGTTGCCTACCCACGTTGTCCAAGGCGGCTTTTCGATGCCAAGGTGTGGATCCAAAAAGACAGGAAAGCGAAGAAACAGCTTGAGTCGAGGAAACAGAGGGAGACGTAAGGCGGCTTTAAACGGACCCTATAAAGGGTTCGTATAAGGGCTACTAAGCTACTATAAGGGGAGCTTCCATGTCCTTCTGCGCGTGCGGGTTAAGATTACCGGAAAATATGCAGGACTCATACAAGCATTACGTTAGCAAAACCATACAAGAAATTCAAGCAGGTCGGCGGATGCTTAAGGATTTGGAAGACCAGATCCCAAACCCGATGTACTACACCCGAACCTCAACGCTAGAGTTTTCGCGGCAAGGGTTCAGAAGGGGCACTTAAACGAAGCCGCACTCGAAAGCCTCAACGATGCCCAAGCCAAGACATGCAGCACTCCGAATAAGAAACCGCCCGCAGATCAAATGGCAAATTCCCAAAGATCTGAAAAGCCTCGAGAACTATGGAGGAAACCTGGAGCGATTCTGTAAGATCCTTCGCATTGCAACCACCATTCCTCGGCCAGTCGCAGAGAGGACCAGCCCCGTGGAGGTTGCCAACTCATCGGCGCACCTTGCCAGCTGAGCTTTCGGGACTCATGTTCAGAATCGGACAAGCAGGGCCAGGCAGTGTTCCAAGGAATTGGAGGCTGCAGGGCTTTGGAGTAGCGTGTCTGATGCGTAGTACCACGTGCAGGCTCTGCTTCGTCACGGTTGGTTCCAGACGGCAGCCTCGAGACATAGACCATAGACCAGAGATCGGTCTCGTTGGGGCACGCGTGGGGAAGCCGGGTGCTCGGGAATTTTGCAAGGCTTCAGCAGAGGAGCGCCAAGCCTCCGCCAGGCAGCTCCGGGAGGACCTGCGGAGCTCGCAGCGGAAGCAGGTAGCCCGACAAGAGCCCCTGCTCAAAATCTTATCAAAGCCCCAAACTTTCCCTCAGCCTCGCTATCAGTTGCGCCGAGCACCGTGGGTGTTGGGCGCGCCTCTTCCATGACCTGCCGGCCGGGAGTTCTACTTAGACATGCCACAGCAAACACACGGTCCTCAAAGGATATGATCATATGCCAACTAGTTCGGCTATCCCGGAGGACTCACCGCACCGGCATCAACAGGAAGTTCAGGCCTGCGACCTGGCTGAGCACTGTGCGGGTGATGTCCCACTCATTCTGAACTGATTCTTGAAGAAACATTTGCACGCTTGAGTGATTAAGTCCCATCCCCTTCACCAAAGTAGATCCCTCGGCTTGTTGGACTGACGGTCCAGCTTCGAGGGGTGACACGTGCAGTGTCAGAATGGCTTTGCCAGTCTGTGGTCCGAAGACACAGGGTGGAAGATTTCCAGCAAAGGCCCGCTCACGTCAACTTCTCGATGCCCCTTGTAACTGTCACTGCCGTTTACACCTCCAAAGAAGCTAAGGGCGGTGTGTCGGCCTGTTGCCAGAATGTCCTGTCCACCAGCTGGCCTCGTTTTGCCTCCCAAACGCAGAGCTGTCCCCTTGGGAAGGCAAGCATGCAAAGAATCGCACCCGTAAAGCAGCCGTCCACCTCAGCTTGGCCAAGCTTTGCTTGCCATGCCTTTGCCAATACGGAAAGGAGGCACAAAGCCAAAAGGGCTAAAAGCCCCGCTTCAATGCGAAGCAAAATCAACTCATCTTGCTGTAAGACGTGGGCATATCTGCGCATCCTCCGCACTGAAGCCAACAATAGGCACAGCACTGACAGCCAAAAAGGCATCACGACCACTGCTTTGCCTGGTGCCGGGCAGTCACCTTTGCAGGCTGCAAACGCAATCGTCGAGAAAAGCAGCCCAAAGCCTAAAGAGAGCCAAAGGACAGAGTTGTCCCTGAAGAGGGCACCCTGACAAACAGCCAGCAAGGCGAGCATGCTGAAGAGCACCGCGCAGCTAGTTATGGACTGCGGCTGCCCTTGCTGGACCGACATCAGGTACGCACAGAAGCTGTGCTCTGCACAAATGGCCAACACTACAAAGGTCAGCCCAGGAAGAGTTAACACAATCTCAGGAAGTATCTCTGTCAAGATGCTGGGATGGTTGTTGAGACGTGGCGTGCGCTCTGCGAGGCAGCGCTTTATATACGGACATGATGCGCACCAGGAGAATGTCAGCAGGAGAAGGCAGAACGTGTTTCCGATCCAAACAGGAAGGAATATCAGCCACCAGTTTGCTTGGCCTGCCTCGATGGTCGCCAAGGAGGCTGCAATGGACACGACCAAGAGGCCATGTGACAAAAGAAACATAAGGCGGGCTGACAAGCAGCAAAGGTGGGTCCGAAGTGCGCTCACATCCTCGGTCGATGCGAAGCGCAGCTCCCTTGTCGACACGAGGTTGTCGTCGAAGCAGAGTGCCGCAGACCGTGACATGGCGGCCTGCGTTACTCTTCCAAAGATCTTCAACCTGTCTAAGTTATCCTCGCGACCATGTATGGAATTCAAACCACCCTCGCGAAAATTTAGCGACATGCTAGTCATTTGAGGTAGATGCTACCTGGACGAACTCCGAGTTCAGCCTGAGCCAGTTAAGCCGTGTTACATCCATGTCGCCTCAATTTCACGGTGCCACATGCCAGGGTCGCCTTTGGGGAGGGGACTGAAGTATCTGCATCAGGGCACCAAGTCTCACTAATCCGGGCTGTCCCATGCAGCACCAAAGCTTGCGCAGCCTGTCTGCACAAAACCCTGACAAGTGCATTGAACCGCATGCCCAAGTAAGTTGAATTGTAGTCCCTTTTGAGCCCTCTGCCTTCAACTCTTCGTAAACCTCGCACGAAATGCCTCGAAGACCGGAAGTCCGAAATCTGGAAGCTGAGCCAGAGTTTCTTTCCCGGACGGATCTTGGCCTGTGGGGCCTCACGACACGCGACGCCACATGCCGCCAGTCTTCTGACCGCCCGGAGCTATACAACGCCCAAGCCCGCCTTGCATCAAACCTGACATATCCCGAAAACCACCACCTGCACCTGGCAACCGAACCTGCTCGCAGCCCCGATATCTGGAGCCGAAAAGACTTCAATTTCCGAGCGTGCGTCAGGCAGGGTGTTGGTAGCAGAAGGCTTTTCCAGCTTCATGGTCACAGAACTGGCCGATTTGAAGCAGCATGGTTCGTGCAGGGTCCGTCTGCCCAGCGCTGGGCCACTCCCGCTTGTGGGGAATACCGAAAGTCTTGAGTCTTGAGAGTTTGCGGGTTGCCCCACCAAGCTCTCGGCTCCAGTTGGCTACCTCGCAGAAATCGCCTTGGCCTGTCCAATCTGTCCAAGACCTTCGCGAGAAATGCCGTGTCGTCGACTCCGCGCTCGGAGTCATTTCAGGCATCTTCCGTTGTCGGAACCGGTGGTTCTGCCGTCGGATGGAGCGAAGGCACTTGGACTTCCCGCATTTGACGGGAAGTGCCTTCAAGCTTCGTGCGGCAAAGTCAAACTCTTTCAGCCTTCAGTGGGAAACCAGTTCTCGGGGTTCAGCAAACCTCGGGCAATTTCGAGACCAGAACATGAGAAGTCTCTGCAATCCGGGTAGCAGAACATAATTCTGCCTGCGCCCAAGGCCGAACAAGTAGCTGTGCGAAGAGCCACACACCAGCAAGCAGGTAATTGAAGCGGTCACGTTGTTCGCGATGTAGTTCAGCGTCCTCTGTACACAGGGTCTCGACATGGACATGGAGAATGAACTACTCCCTGTGTGTTTGTTTGTTTGTCTGTCTGACTGTCTCTATGTCTGTCTTTGTCTCTGTCTTTGTCTGTCTGTCTGTCTCTGGGTCTGTGCGCCTCTGTGTCTCTGTATCTCACCGTGTGTATGTATGTAGGGCCGTGCTCGTCATATCAGACATACATCGTTGTACAAACTATCTCTTGGTCTACCAGTCTACCAACGCTCGCACATGCTGAAACCTTACCACCTCCCCCGACTCAACCCCCATCCAAACTAGCCGGCTCTGTCTGTCCCTGTGTATCAAGCTCAGCCTCATCACGAAGGGGCAGATGGGGCAGTGGATCCCAAGACCAACCTCTACACCCAGGACCAAATTGGGCTGAACGTTGGCCCCATGTACGCTGCAGTGCTAAGCCCAACGAGCGGCAGTGTGAAGTTCGGTGCGATGGTCAAGGATAGTGGCCCAGATACACCGACCTGAACGAGAAGCTTGGTTCGACCGGTCATGCTCCAGCATGCGAACCTCAAACAAGGTAAAGCAATGACATTACATGTCAATGCATGGAAAGTACAACAGGCCTACACAGCATTCCGGGCTAGACTGCACACAGCACGAATCTCAAAATGGCTCGCGACGACAACAATCCTCATCATCGGCAGAACCGTTGTCATCATCAGCAGATATCAGGAGCAGCATGATCATCTTTTGCAGTCATGACGATGGACATGACTACCACCATAACACACGCATGCTAGGAAGCCCTCTGGCAAAATGCAGTGAAACTTTGGTTCAAGACCCACTGTACAAGAACCTTAGTCACTGCGCCAGCCCGGATTCACAAAAACCTGGATTGCCTCGACCTTCAAACTTTGGGGTTGCCTGCCCTGACAGGTTTGTAATGGTTTTTGCTTTCGGGTGGTTCCGTTGTTGCCTTGCTTGCAGGTTGCTGCGGTTCTTGTTGTGTCGGCTGGCGACAACCTGAGATTGCTAAGTGCAAGGCTGCTAGCCCCTACACCTTGCAAGCTCAATTTTTTGGTGATGGTGGGTGGTCTTAGTATCCGTACTAAAGGTGTCCTCAATGTAGCTGGAGGCTCAACCGACAGTGGCATTGTCGTCATATCGTCCTAGTACCGTCTTGCATAGTCGTCGCATCGTCTCTCTGCACCACCTTTACATCCCCGGTGTCGCCCCACAATCGTCACACCACGGCCGAGGCCGTGGGATGGTTTGCCATCTGCTGGGTTGCCTCCATGAAAGGTATACATTGGACTCCTGATAAGACTCTGCCCAACCACCTCAAGGTGCCCTACCTGGACAGATGTGCAAATGAAGATTCTGAAACCTTGGGGCACCATACCCTCGCCGGAGCTCTTCTACAGCGTTTTCACTGCCTGGAGACTCGAACTTCAGCAACTGGAGCGCCTGGTTGGGCCGAGGCACAACGACGGCTCCGTCCACAGCATCCTCGATGAGGCGGGCGATAAGCAGTGGGTCCTTGAGATCCGCATCCAGAGTGCCTTGGGATAAGTTTGAGTGCGGCACAGCCGAAAGGCTGCGAAGGACCTAGCGGCAAGATGCCGAAACCCCCCAGGAAAACCAAAGACTTCTGGAACTGTGGCACTGCCAGGATCGATGTCTCCCCACACTTCCAAGCATCGACACCGTACCGTGAGGCCAGGCGCTTAAGGAGAGCTTCAGCGCGGAGATTTCACTCGGCTGCAACACCTGCCCTCCGAGACCTTGCGGAAGCGTCGAATTTATGAAGCACGGAAAGCGGAACGCTCGGATCATGTTCATGGCTCTTTTCGAAGATTGCCTGAATCTTGGTCGCCTTTCAAGCGAAAGATCTGCTCTCCTTCCCGGGGCATGGCGGGTCTGCGGTCCGGACGCTTGTAGGACTCTGCGGCTACACAAGGTGCCGAGCTGTCTTTCGGTCCTTCCACGGTGTTCTCCCGCACGGAGAGGTCAGTTCCACCAAGTTCAATCTTTTGAGGCAGCCTGAGGAGTCCCAGCAATCACAGGCCTGCTTCATGAACAGCCCCTGGCAGCTCTCGCATCGTGATCGCAAGCTTCAGTGGCCGAGCAGCGGGTTGGCGACCTCTGCTGTCACCTGCTAGAGCAAAGGAGTGCTAAGCGACGGGGCTTCTGGGCATGAGGGCACTCGGGGGTGGCAGAAGACCCGACACTAATCCCTGAGCTCGACAGTTCCGGGCATTCATAAACACCAGAAGTTCGGGTAAAACATCGCAGATACCTTCTTGTCAAGAAGCCTTCGCTTCTCACACTGCGATGTCTTTGAAAATCGGCGGATACCGGAAGAATCGGCCCCACCGATTGACACATCATGACGATCTGACCTGGTAAAGTGCATGTGTGTGTGTGTGAGCACAAACCTTGGCCCTGCCAGCTTCATTCCTGATGTTGCTACAATGCGACAAGTCCCCTTGAATCCATAGGCCATAGTCACGAGGAACCCAGCGACTGCCAACGCAAGGGAATGAAGCAAGCTCGAAAGCGTACAGCCCAATGTTCTTTGGTCAGATGAAGTCTAAAGAGGCTGAACCCTTTTCAAGCCCTTTTCTGCGCCTGCAGCCCGATCAGCCCCAGGTTTGCCGTTATATGGTGGATGAACCTTGCCTCAGCTTTGAGAAGGAAGGTAAGCTGCTGGGGTTCCAGATTTAGGCACCGGTTGTTTGGCACCGCACGAGCAGTGGCTCAGCCTAACCCGGCTTGCCACACCACTGTGGCCAACAGGCTCACAGAATTAGCCATTGCTTTTTCGTGTGCAGAGAGAGACATTAACTGCACCCTGAACCTGCTCTTCGTTCCTCTGCTGGGAGAGCCTGCAACTTCTTCAGGGAGTCACCGGTCATGCGCATTACTTAGGACTTTGCTCGGTTCACTAAGGTGCAACGCATGGCGCTGGGATATGTGCAACTCAAACATCCTCTCGAAACTGGGGTTGGGTGTGATCAGGCTAGAGGGTTGAGGATTTGATCCGACTTTCAAACCTTGTTGCAAACTATCTGAAGGTTTGGTTCCGGGGCTGGCTCGGGTTTCGGTACGAGCTCGGGATTTTAGGCTTGAGCTTCCTTCATCTTCTGCCAGGAGGCCGCAGGTGGCTTGAAGTGGAAGCGGAGGTCGAGGCCGTCCCTGGCAAACAGCTAGACGGCTTGGGATCGCGACTACAGTGGCAGGCCTTCAAGCAAGCTTGCCGAATCGGTGCCCCGTAGTCTTTCAAAATAATGATCGATGGATTCCTGCTTCTGCCACTACCTTTTTCAAGCCATGTCCGCCGTCCAAAAGAATACCCTCAGCCCTGTTGAGTCTGCACGCCGGTCCACATTTGTGGCATGCATGAACCTTCCATGTCTGGCGGATCGGACCCACACTCTTCCACCAACAAAACTCAAATCTCCGAGGCGCAGCACCACGGCCAGGAGGGGGTCGGAGCAGGACCTGGCAAGGACGCGGCGGATTGTTTTGCCGTGCCCCTGGGTCAATCTTTGGGGGCTGAAGGCTGAAGGTCGGCGGCAGTGTTAGGGCACTGGAGTTGTAGTTTTAGCGGACTGCCTTGGGCGATACCAAAACAGATTTGTCAGATGTCGGGTGCGTTTGCTGGTGCAGGTGGGGTGCCGGCGCGAGTGCCGGTCGGTGTGTGTGTGTGTGTGTGTGTGCGCGTGCGTGCGTGCGTGCGTGCGCGTGCGTGTGCGTGCGCGTGTGTGCGTGCGTGCGCGTGCGTGCGTGCGCGTGCGTGCGCGTGTGTCCGTGCGGGTGCAATGTGGTGGGCATGGGTTTGGGGGTGGTGGGTGTGGGTAAGAATGTGGGTGTGGGTGTGGGTGCGGCGTGGTCAATATGATATTTTATGAGTCAAGCATCGACTCCCAAACATGGTCGCAGAAGCTGCCGTAGTATGTTGCGCGCTGGCTAGCATGCTAACGGTGCGTTTTGTTTCGGGGGTGCTGCCTGATTTGGTATTTCGGAGGTAAGTCTATATTGAGGGCGTTGCTCTAAGAATAGCCTTATGCCTTTTGCCTTGAGCTTTCCCAGCGTTGAGTCAGTTTGGGGTTAGGGCATTTCCATGACACGAGTGATATGCACTGGCGCAATCTCGACATACGTTCAGATCCCTACGACCCAGTTGAAACAAACGCCTGTGGCGGACTTACACACAGCAGCACAGACACAGCAGCACGCTAATCTGCACAGTTTCACTCGCTTCGCAAACTGTCCTGGCCTTTCGGTGCCGTGCATTGTCACCATCTGCATGTCGGCGCGAATGTAGCCTTATGGCTCACCACGCATTGGCAGGTGGAAAGCACCTGCTCAATGATCCTGTCCTGTTGAAATCTGTCGATACACATACCAATTGATGGCAATAAGCTTACCAGCCCCACCACCAAACCTCGTGCTCTCTCTCCGCTGGACAGTGCCAAGCTTCCGAGGATGAACTCGCGCACAGCTTCCCTGTTGGAGCTGTCGTCATGCAGCAGAAAACGAACCTCACTGGCAGAATTCCGAGCGATTAAATCTCAGAATGTCCTGGCTCGAGGCAGCCACAAGAATCAATCACGCCTGCGGGTGATGCTGAATCCTTATAATGTGAAAGTACCGTCGACCATTGAATTGAAGAAACTGCTCTCACGGCCGCAGCACTTGGCTTTGATTTGGCAGTTGAAGGAAGGAAGCGTCGGGACTCTTTCATCTGCACGACAAGTATTCAAAAGCTGCATGCTTGGAGGCATCAATTTCGCCGGGTGACTGAAACGGTGTTGCGTCCAGGTTTGAGGGTGACCTCCATCACACCAGGCACTTTGTCCGAGTGGTGCGTACCACTTGCAAACACGGACTGTCAGTTGCCGCCACAGCATGAATCAGGGTCCATGTACGAGCACAATGGCTACAGTGATTCTGACGACCGTTGTTTCCACCTGCTTGTCTTAGCATCACTGCCACCCGGATTATTACGACTGTTGTTACTAAATTTGGTAACGCAGTTATGTATGTAGTTGTCAAATACAATGCGCCCTGACAACTGCCGAAAGATGGCAGAACTGCTGCTTCCATAATTTATGCAAAGGATGAGGTGGTTGCCAAAGCAGGCTGACTCCAGCTTGACAGAGCCTCCGGGTCCCAGGTGCCTGTCCAAGCCTGATAACACTGCAAACCAACCTCCGATACTCGCTCTCAAAACTCTGGATTGTCAAGTCTCGGGCCGCACCCGACTGCGACCATCCGAACAGGACCAAAGTCAACGACTCGCATCTGAATCGCTAAAGTTCTTAACGCTGCAGTTGTGCGGCTTAGGCGGGCCCTGGCTAAGCAAACGGCCTCTTGGACCACAGCAGTCCCAAAGGGACGCCCCCGCTGGGTGATGTTGAAGTGAGTAGGTGTGTCCTTCACAACTGGTCTTTGGGATCAAGCTCGTGCAGCATTGGCGACTAGTTGGAGTCTGATTTCTGCTTTTTGCCTTGCATCAAGTTCCCGCCCCAGCAATATACAAGAAGAAGGGAGTTTGCTCTTGGGTGTACATACTTCTCGACACCACATCGTCACAAGAAAGCCATGCGAAGCCAACAACAGTTAAGCGCCTGCTCCCCGATCCAGGCAGTCTATGAACGTCCAAAACTCCCTCTCTCCAAGTTCCCGCACAGTGGCAAGGTGTGCCGAAATGTACGAAGGATTGTAGATGTTGATCGCCACAGTGGTGTCAAGATGGTCGGGGTAGCCATACGCACTCGTGATCGCCTCTTGTTGCAAGCTGACAGTGACTGACAGTGCTTCTTGAATCCCACACATGACACCACCCGTTCTCTGCATTGCCTGAAAGTCTATTGCACCCCCAGCTCTGGTTCGAAACCTAACACAACTTGACCACGGGGATGCTGAATGATAAGCCCCAAGCCAATGCAACCGTACACAGCCATCGTCCTACTGGTTGAATGCAAGTTTCCTGTAAGCTGTATGTAGCTTCAGCAGATCTGGGAGCGGCAGTTTCTACAATCATGTGCAGGGTTGGTCTCGCGACTCGAACGATACGGGCGAGGCCTGTCAGGTTCGAAGGCAAGCGCGTTTGGCCCAAAGGTCGGTAGTCAATGCACCCGCATATGTAGAGTTAGGGTGGCTGGCTGCGGCAGTCTATGACAGCCATGCTCGGTCGGTGTGATGACTTGCCCACTGGATGCTGGCAGTATGCACCATGCGCCAGCAAAGGACAACGATGTATTCTTATTGCATTACGAAGCTGGAGAAGTGTAGGGAAAGCTGTCCGGCTCATGAAGCTCTCCCAGGCGCCCTCCCCAGCAGCACCTCCATAGTAACAGGATTCACATCCTGGGAAAAGCTCGCCATACCTGCTTGGGAAGGGACGCTGTTCTGGTGCTCTGTCCGGGCTGTGCCACCAAAACATAGGCACGAGTAGGTTTAATGCTGAGGCCGACAAGGTCGCTGCTGCGACGCTTCGGGAAAAAAATACAAAACAACTGAGCCGCCAGACCCTCAAACCACGAAACCCTGTACCTTCGGCCAGGTACCTTTCAGAGCCACCTGCCGCTCGAAGGGTATGTCTGAGAGGTACGCCGCAAAGAACAGTAGTTCACAGCGGACCTGAAAATTTGAAAGGCGTGAGAGTCTTGGCTGTTCTGGCTTTTGGTCGGGTCGCGCACTTCGGCGGCTTGATCTCAGCCGTTGGTTAGACAGGGGTGGCGGCTATGAGACCCTCAAGACTGGCAAGCACCAAGCTAGCTGCTCTTGTTATCTTCAATGCTAGCTAGGCCCTTCTGCTCAAAGCACTCCAAGCCGAAAACAACCCGAACAAGACGAGAACGATGCGGATAGTAGTTGGTGTAGTTGTCTTCAAACCTCCCGCTTGCCATGCATCTCTGAGCTTTCCATTGACATACAATCCTTGCCGGAATTGTTGTTTCTGATTGGCAGACATGGCATTGAGGGTGCGGCCCAAGACAACATGTACGCGTATGCGTGTGCATTTGCATGTATGCATGTATGCATGTATGCATGTGCATGTATACATACATACATACACACATTCATACATACATCCATGCATACATACATACATACATACATTGACATACATTGACATACGTTGACATACATTGACATACACTGACATACACTGACATACACTGACATACACTGACATACACTGACATACATACATACATACATACATACATACATACAATCATATATGCATATACAGATATATCGTCATTATTACACACACGTACATATACATACATCTGCGTGTGCGTATGTATGTATCTATATATATATATAAATTGTGTGTGTGTGTGCGTATGTGCGCTTGTGTGTGTGTGTGTCTGTGTCTGTGTGTGTGTGCATGCATGCATGCATGTATGTAGGTACGTATGTATGTATGTATCATACTTGATTGCCTACTACATTCTACTTGTGTGTTCAAGTTGTTTTTTGTGTACTGTTCGACTCGTGTCATTTTGCTTCTGTATACACTCATAAGAGGCCTCAACATTCATAGCCACGCTAACAATCGACACCCAACAACAAAACCCCAGACCCCGGTGCATTAAACCCTAAAGCCTTAGACCCTAAACCCTAAGACCTAAACCCTAAATCCTAAACCCTAAACTCTACGGGCCAGAGACCTGGCCGAGATGCTGGGATCCGGCACGAAGGCTGCCGCGTGCGCGCGCGACTCCTGCGCTCAAGGAAAAGAGGACAGGGCTCCTTCAAAGGGCTCCTGTCAACCCTATTAGGGTTTAGGGTTTAGGCCCTTAGTTGCTGAGTTCATAAGCAGAGAAAAATGTACATTTTCAGTTCTAGAAGGGATCATATTATCCCAAAAAGTTCTAAAGTGTACCAACTCAGCTACTAAGAACCCTGAACCCTAAGGATTACTGCAAAGAGATGTTACTGTCCGGTTCTAGGGTTAGGGCTCCCAGGCTCCATTGCTGGATGCCCTTAAAGTTCTCCAGGTGTTACGGGTGTAGGGCTAGGGATTAGGGTTTAGGGTTTAAGGTTAGGGTTTAGGGTTTAGGGTGTATTACTATCGAGGTTTAGTAGAATCAGGGAACCTAGAAACTTCACGAATCCCCTTCACAGAAGGGCCTTAATGATTCGAGCAGGATTCCTTTAAGGGTTTCGTGAATGGTTTTTTTTTCAAGGCTTCTGTACGAGTTTCGTATCGGGGCCTTCATAACTAGAATAGAGTTTCGATATATGTTGTAGTATGATTATAGTAAGTATGGAACCTTGAGGAATAATATAGCTAATTTACCAGGCGCCTGTTGTGAAAAAGGAGTAGACCTCAGACTTTAGACGGATCCTGAATATTATGTTAAACTGGAGTCCTTACAGGACTTTTGTTCTCAGAAAGTCCCACCATGCCAAGCCCTATCCCTGCGCTAAACCGTAGAGGGATGATCCTGAACCCAAACGACCACAAATCCTTAAGCCTCAACCCTAAACCCCTAGGCCCTATACCTTAAACTCCTAAACCGCAAATCCTAATCCTAAACCCTAAACCCCTAAACCACAAATCCTAAATCTTGAACCCTAAACCCCTAAACCACAAATTCTAAACCCTGAACTTTTCTGGCTTTTCCAGGGGGGGGGGGGTTCCGCCAGTAGAAGCCTTGTTGGGTTCCTTTATGGGATCTGCAAGGCTTGGTTGAAGGGCTCTATAGGGTTACTAAGGGCTTAGGGTTACTATGCAGGTTTCGCAAATCCCGCACATTTGACCGACAAACCTAGCACGCAGGATCCTGCTGATACTGCGCCGAGTGTGTCCATTTTCACACATGTGAACCCAAAAATATCCGAAGACCTCCAGTTCCTGAGGTTTGTGGGGGTAGTTTCTGTCTGAAGCTAAGCTTATGTTGAAGTGGCATACTAAGTCCACTGACCCTTGGGGGAAGCCACACCTCCGAACCCTAAACAGCTATAGGCTCGGGGTTCGGACCTCTGATAAAACCTGAACCCTAAACCCTAAGCAGGAAACACAGTTGCTGATATAAATCCTGCATTACCCATCATAAGGAATATACCATCATTCCCATTGTTTAGGGTCCTTAAGGTCATGCAGGATTTAAATCATCAACAGCAGGAACAGTGAGAAATCTGGAGCCACGGGAGAGTCCTCGGACATCGATGCATGAGGGAAGGGCGGCTGGAAACCTACCCGGGCGGAGATAGGGTCCGACCTGAGAATGGGTTTAGGGCTTATGATTTCGGGTTTAAGGGTTTAGGGTATAGGGTTTAGGGTTTATGACTTCGGGTTTAAGGGTTTAGGGTTGATGGATTGGCCATTTGAAGCCACACGCTTATGCAGCTATGCATCACTTTCAACTTGTTGGTAAAACCTGAGAAATCCCCGTCCGAATTTCTCAGCCCACTACATGAAGCCTTGCACTTGCCCTTTTTGGTCTTCAGCCCAGACGAGGTCCCTCAAACTCCACAAGGCCGTCTAATACGCATCAACATGATTTCATGGTAACGAAGGAATGCGTGAATGCAGGAATGGAAGACTGCAGCCATCATGCAGCCTACAGGCGTGTTTCCTTCTGGACCTGCGGCCTTCTAGAGCACCCGATACCCACAGGCTCCTAAGTAGTTCCTTTTTTTGGTTTATATTTAGAATCCTATAAGGTAACCCCAAAAAGGAACTACTAAGGAGCCTATGGGTACAGTTCCTACACACAGCAGGCCCCGGTTTGCAAGATCTTTTCATCACTCGGCTGTGAGCCCAGGGGCTTCAAGTAAAACGACGACGACCCGGGTCACGCAAAATGGGCAACGCACTACCTTAAGCAGCGCGCTTCTAGCAAGCGCAACATGGCTCTAGGCCGTAATTCTTCCCAAGTCCTGTCTCATCGCCTCTTCGCATTCCTCGACTTGCGGATTGCGGTTCCCAACCCAGAGAGCCCAATACCCCTTAATTAAGGGATACACCTCAAATCATAATATTAAGGCCCCTATAACTTAAGGAACATTCCTTAATTAAGGGGTATCGGGCTCTCTGGGAATGGGTTCGAAGCACCTTGCTTGAAATTTTGCCAGCAGCCTCTTGCGCGATCTCGAAGACAGAGCTCCGAATGATCGCTCCTCGTGAAGCTGGCACGACGCACTGCAATGCTCCTTCGAGCGAGCCCACCTCCGCACTGGAGTCGGCCAGCATACGCCCGTTTCTTTTGGGCTGGATGTACTGCTGAACTCGAGCGGAACGAGCTCCATTGCACTTCTCCTCCATCTCCTCCTTCAATAGGAGAGAGTTCTGAGCGCCTGATTCATCTGGGTGCCTGAGTGACCCCTTAGTTGTAATAAGGGTACCTTTGTTCCCGTTATTCAGTTTTCGTACGGGAACCATATAATACAAACAGCAACAGGGTACTACTCACGAACCGAAGCATTCTCACAACAGCTAAAAAATACCAGCCGCAAACTTCCTGCCGCCTAACCCTATAAACCCTAAACCTCGAACCCCAAACTGCCCTAAACTGCATCACGCAAGCCTAGCAAACCTTAAGAGATCCTATACGGGCAGTTCCCCAAATCAGGGTCCTTTTTTGAATGGGTTTCCAGAGTAGTACAGAACCCTTATAGCAGCGGACCCTAAACAGGACCCTAGTTTAGAGAACTACCCGTAGCACACTGCCAAATGCATCTCTCCTTAGAAGCTGAGTTCATAAGCACAAAAAAGTGTACACTTTCAGTTCTATAAGGGATCATATTATCCCAACAAGTTTATAAAGTGTGCTCATTCAGCTTCTAGGATTCAAAACCATGCAAAGCAACTTCAAACCCCGCGGCCTCACAAGCTTTAAACGTTGTTGGAGTTTGGGGTGTAGGGTTTAGAGTTTAGAGTTTAGAGTTTAGGGTTAAGGAGTATAGGAGATTAGGGTTTCGGGTTAAGGCGTTTAGCAGGTTGGGGATTAAGTTTAGGAGATTAGGGTTTAGGGTTTAAGGTTAAGGAGTTCAGGAGATTGGGGTTTAGGGTTAAGGAGTTTCGGAGATTAGGGATTAGGAGTTTAGGAGATTGGGGTTTGAAAGTTTAAGGTTTAGGGCTCAGGGTTTTTGGGGGCTTCGCTGTAAGCACAACGACACCTAAAAGCCATGCAGGCTTCAGCGCACTACCAATAATAAGGAATATACCATAGTTCCCATAGTTTAGGGTCCTTAAAGGCATGCAGGGTTTATATCATTAACAGTAGTAAGTAGGGTTATATGTAAGATAACTAGAGGCAAGCCTACTTCCAAAGCTAGTTAAAAGGTCCCCATAACCGTACTTATTAAGTCCCATGATCCTCCAAGTATAGAAGACCCCAGAAAGTTGGAAACCGGATTAAGGA